GATGTCAGACCGACACGTCCCACCCGCAGTCGGCGACCACCAGCTCCTCCTGAGGGTGGATGGACACTTGATCATGTCATGGCATCCTTATATGATCTGACTACTGACTTTAGAGGATATAGACAGAGCACGAGCAAGTGGCGAAACCAGATGGACACAAGGGTTGCACGGTTGGACACAAGGGTTTCACGCTTGGAAGGTTTAATTGGCGAGGGTGCCCATACTCAGGAGGAGGAGGAGGATGATGACAATGGGGATGACACACAATCGGATGAAGAGAATGGGGAGGACACGCCATCGGATTAGTGTGTCCATAGGGTTTCATATCATTGATTTAGTTTGATGTAATGTAGTCATTTTGGTACATTTAGGAACTTTACCTACATTGCATTGATGTTTTTGTACTGGATGTTCAAAATTTGAATGAATGAAATTTTCGTTTTGCGCACGTTCAGACTTGTTGGTTCTATGCATTAGTATGGGACCTTGCATTAATATTGTCATAATTAATTTGGAAATCAATTCAACCCAAAGTACTTTAATATTCATGTTCAACTTTCATTGGCGCACATCTTGATTACTGCATCCTATTTCTACGAAATCAATCCACCCCCAAGTCATACCGTATGTAGGTATTGCACAACAATTACCAAAATGCAACAAAAATTGCCAAAACAGCTTCTGCAACAGCATTGCTCTTTCGGAATCGCATCCAACCATGAAGCAACTTCAGGATTGGATCCTTGTACCTAATGTCGAAATTTATCTTTGAACATGTGTTGCAAAAAACCATGACATATGCATTGGTTAGTGAATTTCATCAACGTTTTCTTCAAATGGTTGAAAATGTGAGTAATTATACCGTACATTACCTAATTTCATCAACGTTTTCTTCAATTCCACATTCCTAAAACGGGTATTGAAGTTGCTTCCGATGTGACGTAGACAAAATACATGATAAGCAGTGTTTGAATGCTTGAATGCATTGGTGAAATGTCCAAAAAACCCTTTGAAATACGGCCCTGTCTGTATAAACCCGACGTTCATCAAAACATTGATTTGTATCAAGTTTGAACACATAACCCACATTCACCTCCGTCATAAACTTCAGCCAATTTGGCAAGAATGCGTACGATTTCTCCCAGTCACCAAACAACTTAACGATGGCCTTCATTTTTGCCTTCCAGGCCTTCCTGTACGTTATGTTGTATCCATATGTTCCCTGTATCCTCTCCTGTATCAGAGCTGGTCTTGTGGATGGATCTTCCTTTAACATATCTGGAAAAAAAAATAACTTTACCATATTCTCAATTAATCTGAATCATTAAATACACAGTAGAATACATACTCATTATAGCCGCACAAATGACATTTGAATCCAACTGTCTATGATCCTGTGCTAGGCCTTGATTTAGGCATGTGTGACCTTGACCCCATTTACGGACCACCCAATTAGCTCCCTTCTTCGGCTTAATTGCCCTCATATACCAGGGACAACCGTCAGCATGGTTTTTACACTTCATAACAAATCTTGACTCGTCACTTTTTTCAACTATGGCTGTCCTGCGCCCCTTCATACAATGTATCTTCACAGCATGTTGCAATTCTGGTTTGGACCCAAATTCTTGTTGCACAAATAACGGATCTCCTAACTTCCAACCTCCGTGCAAGTCATCATCGCCATATAGGATCTCCAACTCGTCATTAGGGTGCGCCCAGTTAATGAATGAATAATGTTGGCTTTCATTCCAGAATGGCTCCTCAGACCCTGCATCTAAAGATCAACTCTCATTTGTCTGAATGAATACCACCACAAATAATAAATTGTCTAAAGCAAATGTTCAAATTTAATAACTTACCACTACTGACTGGGTCGACATGAAGTGGTGACAAGGCTGGGGTACCGAGACTTACGGCGCTCATGTCAGCCTCAAAATTACCGTCCACGTCAGTGTCTGACGAATCACCTTCTGGAATAGCACTTTCAGGTTCTCCCTCATCTTCGCTGTCCACATAGTCCTCGTCTTCATCCTCTTCATCCTCATCCAATGCTACCTGAGGAGGTGCAGAAGATCGTACAACTGTATCTTCTTGACCGGTACAGTGTGCAGTAGTGGTTGTATGCACCGGTAAAGATGAAGATTGTCCAACATCAACTTCAACATATATCTCAATATATTTTAATACTTTCCATTCAACAAACGCATCTGTTACGAACTCCACATCTTCATCATCATTTATATCGTTTCCAATGTAGTATATTGTATCCATATCCACTACAGTCTCTAACCTGGCTATCATGCGGTGGATGGAATGTATGCCTTCTGACCCCATTTTTTGAAGAATTCTCTCCTTCAGTTCATTGCATGCAGTGCCCACTTTGATTTTCATCGTTTTTGTTTTTCCTTCAAATCGGACACCGTTCGGACCTTCAAAATGCCTCCCATTGTAGTAAATAACTATAGGAACCATGTTTGGACTTGAACTCATCTTTCACACAAAAATTAGATCTAGGTTTTGGGTTTGGAGGTTGGTTCAGATTTTTTAGCACAAAATGGGAGTGTGGAGATGTAATCTCAATGTCCCACCAAGATTCAGCTTTCTGAAATGATGAGATGAAATATGTGTGATGTTTCGGATTAGAGAGGGTAAGAGAGAAAGATTTGGGGTTTCAAAAACCCTATACCTCGCAACAATGGCCGAAACCCATACATATTGGGGTTTCTGGACGCGATTTACCCGGGTACACTGCTCCTTACCCGGGTAAATAATTCAAACATTTTCCCAGATTCAAGAACTCTACCCGGGTACACCCCTACATACTCGGGTAGATAAAAAGTTTCAAAATTTACCCGGGTAGGTAATGGTGTACCCGGGTAGGCTTCGTGGTCAACGGTCAAACAGGGGCAGACTGGTGTTATGTTTGTTGGGGAGGGTAAATTTTCGAAATAGTTTTGAATGAAGGGAAATTTGATAATTAATTATTAATTAAGGGGCATAAGGGTCAAAAAGCCGAAATTTGTTTCTTATATTAAATATAATAATTTTATTTCATATAATATATAAAAAAATTATTAAAAAAAGGAAGGTAAAAAATGAATTCCATTCATTTTTTATGTGTGCGTAAAATAATTTGATTTCATGTAAAATATATTTCCTATTTATTAATAGAGAAATAATTTTTTTATGTTGAAAGAAAAGAGTTTTTTTATGTGTATAAAAAAGTTATTTCTCTTGTGTAATATAAAATAAGGGTTTTATAAGAGTTACGTTGTAGGAAAAGTGACTGTGTAATGTTATAGAGATTCGTTTTGCGTGCCTTAATTTTTTATTTATTTTTTTGTTTTAAAAAGTGTGGACCCCACAAAATATTGTGAGTATAGGAAAGTTTGTTGTGTTATGTTAAAGGATAAAACGAAAACCCATAAAAGAAATATAACCTTTATTAATAACTCTTAGTCAAAATAAGAAGAAAATAGAAATAAAAAAAATATTACTGTCCTTTTACATAAGGTAACTTATTTCATTTTCTCGCACTTCAATTTTTGCAACCCATTTTTTTTTGTAATGATGTGACTCATATATTTTCTCTCTACAATATAGGATAACTATCTTATGTGAAAGGAGATTAATGATCATTAATGGGATTTAATGATGTATAGGAGTATTTTTTTAATTTAAATTTTTTTAGAAAAATGGCAGCGAGCATCGAATCAAATTCCAATAACAAAAGTCAAAGATATGTCAGTGATAAAGAAAAGGAAACGTTGTGCGAGCGAAAATGAAAGGGTGGGACCCTCAGCCACTAACGTTGTAGGGTCATGGACCCCCACTCAGATATCCTAGACTTAAATTTCAGAATTGATTTCTCTGCTCTCTCAGACTAGTCAGCCTCATAATTCATAAATAACGTTTCTCTCGAACTTTCTCCCTTCCACGTCGCCCCAAAACCTTGCTTCTCTGTTTTCCTCTCATCCCTTACCACTTTTATTTAACTATTAAATTCTAAAAATGAAAAACAACAGGATTTATTTATTTTAGGCAATGTATTTTGAATTATTTATTTTTAATTACTCTTCCACAATGTTACGAGATTTAAGGCTTTTTCACCTTTTTACCCTTTATTAATTAATTAATAACTATTTTGCCCCTGATTCGAAACTATTTATCAATCTGCCCCTCTTTAGTTGACTACCTTGCATTTTTAATCGACTAAATGACCAAAACAGACAAAAAATGGCTGCTGGGAGATTTAGTCGACTAAATCTCCCTATTTAGTCGACTAAATCTTCATATTTTACAAAAAAAAAATAAGTCAGTATGATTTTAATCGATTAAGTAGAGAGATTTAGTCGATTAAATCTCCCAACAACCGTTTAGTCGATTAAAAATGCAAGGTAGTCGATTAAAGAGGGGCAGATTGGTAGATAGTTTCGAATCAGGGGCAAAATGGTTATTAATTAATTAATAAGGGGCAAAAGGGTGAAAAAGCCCGAGATTTAACATCTGATTTTATTTACGGATTTTCATTAATAATTCTCAATGATATTTCTATATTTCTTTTCATGAATGTCAAATACAATTTTCATATGATATTGCTATTTTTACAAATAAACATACTCAATAACAATTTGCACTAATTGCATGAAAATTCATATAGGAAAAAAAAGAAAGAATCAGAGCTCTTTTTGACCATATCAACATACAAAAGCAAGGAAACAACACGTATAAAAGAAAAGTGTAAAACAAGTAAACAACCCAAATATGCATAATGTTATGGTGACTTGTAGACGCCACACATAAGTAATAACTAATAAGTAACGAGTTAGGCAACATTTCTGTTGTTGAAGGGTAAATGAAGAATAAAGTTGGAATAGCATTGATAAATGGGCAATCCGATGAAAAAAGCAGTGTATTAAGAAACTGTTGAAAACTCAGCACTTTATGTTCAAGTATTTAGGTTGCAGTTACATTCCATTCCAACCTGCTTAGCTGCGGTTTCAGTTTTCCGTTTCAAACTTTTGTCCATTCCCAATACGTACTTGGTTGCAGATTTAGCCAAAAACTGAAAAAGGAATCCATCTAACGACGTCGTTTTACTGCGCTATCATTTGGGAATTTGGACACAATTATTTGGTTTTTCTCCATGTTTGCATAGGACCAGTACGTTACAACGTTGGAAAATGATCCAATATTTCTTCTGCTGCTACTATTTTAATCCCTCTTTCTTTTTCTCTCTCAAGCCCAACACACACAGTTAACAATATATTTTATATAATTAAAAAGTTGGAATTTTTCAGTAATTCTGCATTAGAATTTCAGAGTTTAATCTCACAAAATTCTAAGATTCCCAGAGGAAAATTTGTCCCCGCTGTGCTGTGATTCTCAATTACCTCCTTATTTTTTTTTCTCTCTCTCTCTCTTTCTCTGTCTTTCTTGTCTTTGGCGTTTGGATTCTGAGAAAAAGAAAAAGAAAAAGAGTTCTCTTTCTCTTTCTCTCTCTTTTAGCTTATTGTTTTCACTTTCAGAACGGAAGCTTTGCTTCACGACATCCCCACCACCACCTTCGACACTTCCCTTTCTAACGTTTGTTTCTTAGAAACCAAGCGTTCACTTTTGGTTCAAACACGCCTTTTTTCCTTGTTGCTTTTCTCTCATTTTTCATGTGCTTCAAGGTGTCTTCCTTGCTGGTGATGTTGTTTGTTTAGTCCCTTTTTTCCTTTGTGTATCTCACTCGCCAATGGCGGACTCGGCCAAGTTGAGGTTGGTGCGCTGCCCAAAGTGTCAAAATCTCCTTCCAGAGCTCGTCGGTTACTCTGTTTATCAATGTGGTGGTTGCGGTGCTGTTCTTCGAGGTACCCTTTCTTCTTCTTCTTCTTCTTCTTCTTCCTGTCACATTTAGTTCAAGGCATGGTTTGTTTTGACCTTTGATCAACTTCAGAATTTTTTAGTGTGTGGTGAATAAAATTAAGACATTTTTATTACGCAGAATTATGGATCAAATTTTGCATTTCTATCTTCATACCTAATCACGTAGTTCATCCGTTTCAATCTAGTGCCTGCCCCCCACTTGGAACGAATATACTAAACATATATTTTGTAGTGAAGAACAAAACCATGGAACAGAGTTGGGTATTTTAGTTTATGATTGTAGTTTCCATTACCTTTTAATTTGCAGCTAAGCATGAAGGTTATGTGAGTGGTAGCTTGTCTGATGAAGGGAAGGTTGGAGGAGATTCTGGCAAATTAGAAGATTCATTGGAGAAGGGCTTAGTTGATCCCAGTGATACTTCAGATGTTGATGCTAAGTCAAACAGTGGTCCCTCAAGGCATGATAATCAAAGGGAGATGGATAAAGAAAAGAGCAGTCAGGAGAGATTTCCAAATCAATCAGAGGATACTCATGAGAAAGGGGTTTTAGAGAATGTTGCCGATGTCAACAGAAACAAAGATGAAGTTTGTAAAACATTAGGAAGAGAACAGGAGGAACCTAAGTCTCAAATTGGTAATGAAAATGGGTCCAAATTCTCTGGGAGAAAGTCTAACTGGCAAAATGGAGCAAGAAGTGAGATGGAAGGCTTTTGGAGAAAGCCAAGAGCTGATATGGAAAGTGTGAGGTTTTCCACTTCGAATTATCCTGATGAGGGACCTTCAAATGGCTATTCCGGTTTTCCTTATAATTATATGGAGCCATGGAGAAATCATAAAGAAATAGATGGTGCGAACAAGGTTCAGCACCTTGAGCATGATCGAACTGAACTTCTTAGGAAGCTGGATGAGTTAAAGGACCAGATTAGTAAGTCCTCTGAAGTGGTTAACAACCCAAAAGAAAAGTTTCATCTTGATGAAAGAATGATTCCTCCAGATCCTCATCCTTCTGGTGGCTCTGATCCTTGGTTTCCTGATGGATTGTCAGGGTTGAACAGGACTTCAAGGCAACTTTTTGGCACTGATAAACATATTGCTGCTCCCCCTCATTTCAATTATCATCATGATCCATATCCTTACACAAGTGGTCATGAAATGGCTATGCCCAACTTTCATCCTTCAATGCATAATGCAAATCAATATGGGGATCCTTTTGCATCCCAAATGTTGAGGAGAGGTCCACATCAGTTACCCCATCAGTTCCCACAACAACCATTGCATTCCTACCATCCTGGACGCTATGTTGATACTAATCCAGATTCATATGGACACTATGCACATAATGCAATGCTTCACCCGCATTCTTGCTCTTGTTTCCATTGCTATGACAACAAACGAAGAGATGCAGTGCCAGCACCGCCTGCTTCATTCATTAACAGCAGATTCCCTGATACCCCAAACGATCCTATGTTATACCATCATGAGATCTCAGGGGCATTTGGTCCACATGTTCATAATTCTAGAACTGCCATTCCTCTTGTAAGTTTTCGTGAAAAGCAATTGCATACAAGATGGCCTAGTGACATCAACTCTGAGATGGGTAGTTTTGTTCGAAGCCGTCCTTGGAAAGTAATGTTAACTAGTGGTAGTCAGCGTTGTCATCCTGTAGCTGGTGGTTTGCCCTTCATCATATGTCATAATTGCTTTGAGTTACTGCGACTGCCTAAAAAAGGGTTGGTTCTAGTGAAAAATCATCAGCAGACAGTGCGATGCGGGACTTGTTCTTCGGAAATCAACTTTTCTTTCATCAATAATAAGCTGGTTATTACTCCTCATTCAAAAATGAAGGGAGTTCCCACAAAGGTTGATGATAGCTCTAATGAGGTTGCAAGTGACCGTGTGCTGCATTCCCATGGTCATGTGAACAGGAGTGGTGCTAACTTCTCATCTGATGATTATTCTGGTTATGATTTTCATTCAGTAGATAGAGAACCTCTTTCACTGGTTTCTTTGAACGCTAACAAGCCTGAGGAGATGCAAAGTTTCCATTCTTCAACTCTCAGTACCTCTGAAGATGAAAATAGTCCAGAAGTGATGATTGCTCCAAGGGAGGCCACCAAGTCCATTCATCAGCCAACTAAAGACTCTGTGTCTCCTCCACCGGCTGGCTCTCCTCTGCAAGAGTATTTTGATTACTCTAATAATAATCATGCAGTGAACCGGTTTGGAAAAGGCAACCGAAGTAGTCGCTCTGAGCAAGAGAAGGAAAAAGTGGACAAGATTACATCACGTCAAAATTCTTTGAAAGAGGCAGCGCTTGCAACTGAGATGGATGTCCATGATTATTCTAACACTGTGGCCTCCCAAGATTCTGGAGATGCTAGCCGAGAACATGATCATCCAAGATCCAACAAAAGGGGTGAATCATTTTTTGCAAACATTATCAAGAAAAGCTTCCGAGATTTCTCCCGATCTCATCAGACAGATGATCGTGGCAAAATTAATGTTACTGTAAATGGGCAACCCATATCAAATCGTGTGCTTAAGAACGCTGAAAAGCAAGCTGGACCAGTCCAGCCTGGAAATTATTGGTTAGTGTGCTTTACAGTCAACTGTAACCTTCCATGCCATTTATACCCCATGCTATGTTAGACCGAGATATATCAGACAACTCCAATAAATTCCTTTTGTATTTAGTGGACTTAAATTGCAATCAACTGCAATATGTTCACTTATGAAATAACATTGACTTTCATGTTTAGATACCTTTTGCAGAATAACATTTCTTTATGCATTATATCACAATTTTGTAACAAATTATAAATCTTTTGTTGATTACTTATATAGTGTGCTAACAGATTTACCTTCACACAGGTATGATTTTCGGGCTGGATTTTGGGGCGTCATCGGTGGCCCTTGTCTTGGTATAATTCCTGTAAGTTCTGCTACTCTAGTTCAGTGTGTTGGTTGTATGCTTTAGTCCAATCATGTTAACTAAATATGGTATTTTGTCATGCAGCCATTTATAGAAGAGTTCAATCATCCCTTACCAGACAAATGTTCTGGTGGGAATACTGGTGTTTTTGTAAATGGTAGGGAACTTCACCAAAAAGATTTGGAGTTGCTTGCTGGAAGAGGACTTCCCTCTGATGGAGATAGATCTTATATTATTGAAATTTCTGGGAGAGTGCTCGATGAAGACACTGGAGAAGAGCTGGACAGCCTCGGCAAACTTGCACCAACGTAAGATCCGGTTTTTGCTGATGCTGTTCCTATTCTCTATTTATTGTCTACCTCTTTTGTTTTAATGCACTTATGTTTCTATTAACTGCTTAGAGATAATCAAGTGTTTTACTAATTAATTATTAATAATTTATTAACTGCTTAGAGATGATCAAGTGTTTCACTTATGTAAATTATTAATAATTTACAATCAACAATCAACCCATGTTGATTGTTGGCTGTAATCTTTGGCCCTAGATCAGGTGGAGGATTTCCAGATACCCGTGGGATCTTTTTAATATTTTGACTTGGCATAGAGGACTTCTAGGTTAGAATGAAAAAAATGTGTGGCTTGCAAATCAATATAGATTTATCATGGGATGGGGTGCACGGTTTCGGAACAGGCAGCAGCAGTAGATTGTGAATCTTTTGTTTTTCTGGGGAAAGGAGAGAATATACTTAAGTTTTTGTCTTCATTCTTCACTATTCTATTTGTTAAAGATTGTAAGTGAAAATTAAGAAAATAAGTGAGCTGAAAAATTGGGTATTTGGGTGCAAGTGTTCTAAGGAGATAGTCTTGATACATTTTTGATGTTTTATCATATAATGTTTAATATGTCAAGTATTATGTCTAATGCTTTCATTTGATCATCTATTAAATTATATGGCATTTCAATTCAATCTAACATTAGCACTGACATTGTTTACTCTAACAACTTGATGGTTCAATTGATGTTATTTTTTGGTTAAGATGGAAGAGTCTATCTGTCTTTGCCACAGAATTGTGTTATGCTTTCTTTTTCCTTACATTTTCTTAACCTAAGACTACATGATTTCAACTGTTGTGTTTATTCCATTTTTCAATGCGATCCCAGTATTTGACTTCTTATAATATTGTTGATGTTGCCATTAAATTTTATTAATCTTTAAGAGCATTCAGTTGGGATAATTTTTAAGCCTTGCTTTCTTTATAATTTAACAGAGTGGAGAAAGTTAAGCATGGATTTGGCATGAAAGTACCTAGAGCAGCTACATAATCAAAATTTAGAAACAAGTATTCAGTTGCTTGTTTGAAAAGGTGAATTTTGTTCCTTCCTTCTGAAGATTTGGAAACTTCTATTTGAGACCTGATCATGGAACAAGTCTAGAAATGTTTGGAAGATTACTTGAAATTCTTCTGTTATATGTCCAGGAATAAGTGTGATTTTGTGCAGGACTTGAATCTAGATTGCATATGAAATTTGTAAATTTTTTATTTTTATTTATTAAAAGAAAATGCTTCAAAAGTTTTGTACTTGATATCAAGTAGTTTTAGGAGGAGTTAAAATGATTGTGCGAAAAGTCTAGCATCTAGGGTAGAATTTGATGTTTATAAATGTGTAATGTATTCCTTGATCAGTTTGTAGTAGTTATGCATTTGTAAGTCAAACCTGGAAATATTTTAATATGATCTGGAGCAAGATTTCTGTGGATTCTTTTATCTGGTGTGCATGAATTTAAGATTAGATATAAATTAAATATGTAAAATGCTGGCATTTGTGTCTTATTATTAAGAAGGAAGGGGACAAAAAATCAAACAAGAATTATGTGCTTGATTCTATCTTGTATTTTCGGGCTAGGTACCAGGTCATGCATCTTCAATTTGATCTGTAATTTTGTAAATGAATCCTACATTCTAGAATACTTGATCCTGACTTCTTTTTTTTGGTTGAGATGGGGGTTTACAAAATAATCATGCCTATTATTTGGCTATTAAAGTAACGTTAATACACAACTATACCTTATTGAAGTTACTTTTTTGGGTGGAATCTAAATTTTGTCAAACTGAGGTTCATAGTTTAAGCTTGCAACATTTCTTTGGTGAACTCTTGGGATGCAGAACAATACGCATATCGGTAATGTGGACTTGCAGTATAATAATAACAGCGTAATTGTTGCTTGCTAATCTTTAAGATAACTGTACTGCTTTTAGAGTTCCAATTTTTTGCTACCAGTTTTGAAGATAACCGTGTGTTCAGAGAGACAAAATTCAGTTCTGCTGTCATGGATTTGATTCTTTTCATCCCACTTAGTTTTGTCCACTTTTTATTACTGATTCTAGGTGGGAAAGATTCCTGATTCTTTCATTTACCACTTACCAGACCAAGTGATAATATTTTAACTGATGCTGATATGGATCCTAAATAGCACTTACTCATTGTCATCTTCCCCATTGGCACAATCAAGTTGATCCACTAACCCCTACAGCAAGCTCTCCTTTTGTCTACTTTTGCAGCTATATATATATATATATATACGAAAAATCCAAAATTCAGTCACTGGATTGTCCAGTGAGTGAATTTTGACTATATTCTCCCGTGAGAATATAGTGCAAAAACATTATAATGGTGTTCTGCAGGTGTTTTCCCGAGAGAACATAGGCAAAAAATTTTGTGCACTATATTCTCGCGGGAGAATATAGTGCACTGAACCTAATTTACATCAAGTCACTTGATATCTACTAAACTCATATATATATATATATATATATATATATATATATGAGGGGGGATATTTTGACTACCAAAAATGTCCACTACCACCTTACTACCTATCAAATCACCATTGGATCAAAGAGAGAGAATGTTAAAAAGTTTTGAAGAAAGAGAAAATATTAATCCAATGGTGATTAGATAGGTAGTAAGGTGGTAGTAGAAATTTTTGGTAGTCAAAATATCCTCCCTATATATATATATATATATATATGGAAAAATTAAAAATTCAATCACTAGACCGTCTAGTGCACTGAGTTCTCCCGCGAGAACTTAGTGCAATAAATATTATAATGGTGTTCTTCAGGTGTTCTCCCGGGAGAACATAGTTATAAATTTTACTATAATTGTGTTGTCGCGGGAGAACTTAGTGCACTGGACTGAATTGTACATCCAGAGTCACTGTACACTCACTAAACTCTCTCTCTCTCTCTCTCTATATATATATATATATATATATATATATATATATATGCTCACAATTTCCACCGTATTCATTTAGCCTCCACAACAACATTGTCACCAATAACAACATATTCCTATGTCGTAGCCAGAATAATGATTTACTCATCTTCCAAGTTGCATGGACGCCTAGTGAATTACACGCTTCATGAAAATGTGAATTACACAAGAAGAGTAATGAAAAACGTGACATGAATACTTTTCAGACTTCGAAGTGTCTTATTAAGGTTTGAACTTTGAAGTGTCATGTTAAGCTGGGTGGGGTTAATACGAGTTTTCGGTACCGTCCGTTGGGACGTATCCATTTTTTTTTTAAGTTTATACGTCTCATTGAAGCTAGCGATTGATGTGATCAATGTGACTATGATATTATGATATCTAATTTTTTTGCTACAATCATTGAAACTCATGAATTCACTGCGAGTGGCAAAGAGAAAGAGGTGGAAAAAAGAAAAAAGAAAATAGATGGAAACAAATCCGAGTTGGTAGCGAGTGACTCGTGTGGGGTTGAGTGGTGCACTGCATAGTGCAAAAATCTATGAGGATTAATTGGCGAATGAGGTTCTCCCTGTTTTTGGACTTTGGAGGGCCTTGCATGATAGTTTTTTAGAAAGTATTTTTATGACTTAATTTTGTATTTACAAATTCAACTTTTTTTAACTCGTGAAAAAATAATCCGAGTACTGTTTTCTGAACTAATTTTCTTGTCAATAAATTTTATCGATTTATCTTAAAATTTTAAGAAAATATTTTTAATTAAAAGAACTTTTTACTGAAAAAAAAAATTTGTGCCCTAAAAACACTCATTTTACCTGTTCTGGAAACCAGCTACAAATAAATTTCCATGCCTTTCTTTACTTTCCTACTTCTTCTTTTTTTAAAATTTCTCGTAATCTTTTATTGTACAAGTAATTTTGTAAGTGGGTTTTGTATCTTTTGACAACAAGGAGGACAAAATGGCAAGTATTTCCAAGTAAAATGAGAAAAACATACTTTGTTAGTGTAATCACCATATAGAATATAGGTAGAAACTAGAAAGAACATAACAAATGCTTAGAACAGACTTGGTATCAGGATGCCTCTTGCCTCCATCCTTTTTCTTTTTTCTTTTTTAATATAATAAATTAAAGATGGAAAACGATATATGAGCTGGCGTTGAGCTTTCAGAGTTCACTTTGATTTATGCAGTGCACGGCATATCAGGGGATCGTGACATTCATATAGAAATTTTAATAGCAAATTTATGGTCGATATTGTATACAAATAGAGTATTTATGTTAAAAAGAAAATTATTATTTAGCTTAAAACTAAATTGTGTGATTATTGTATCGCTCTAAATAAAGTATTAGTGCTGAATATTGAATAAATGTGGACCAAGATGGGATCATATGGGAAGGTTTAACTACTTTAACTCATCGTCACTCTTATGTTCCTCTCAATTAAAAGATAATTCATTTGGTCCCCACAATAGCTAAATGTAAGTCTTTAATGATAATTACAGCTTTATCTATTTATGCAGATTCCATGTTTTTTCTGTCATCATACCAAACTCTTGTAAAGCTAAAACACTCGGAAACTTCAATCACACGCTTATAATCGGATTTGTGATCTTAGGTAGCAAGATTCATTTTGGTTAATGTAACAAACCGGTTTGTCAACATTAGAGTAAATAACTTTTTTATTCCTCATCAAATTTCACGATACCCACTTTAGTCTTTAGAAATAAAAAAAAGAAAAATTATACTCTTATGTTACATAAGATTCATCTCTCACGTTACACTCACATAAAAAAATGTGCCTTCCTTTTTCTTTTCTTTTTCTTTTTATAAAAATGGATGAGTCTCATTTTATTTATCTCACGACATAAGTAATTTCTCTCGTGTTACATGAAAATGAAAAAAAAGACTATTAATGGTCTCTCGTTTTTTTAAATTAGACCCACTTTATTCCTTTTATTAGTGGAGCTCCAATGTCATTACTAATGTGTATAACGTGTACCGTTAAAACGGCGGAGAAATCCACCTGCAGAATCTATTCTTTGATTTTCACTCAAAACCATTTTAAGATCGAAACATATAACAGCAGAACATGGCACGTGACATGATATCGATCCATGAAGAGAGGACCCACTCAGAGAGGAATTAAAAAAACACAACATATTGTATTAAACCAAATGACACACAATACTAAAAAAACCGAATGACACACATTCTTAAAATATAATATGTTGGGACATTGGAACATTGACCCACGTTGGGACATTCCTAAAGCCGCTTGGGAAGTAACACGTGTCACGTTCATAGTAGCTATTTATCTTAGTCATTATGATACGTGACAGTTTAGAAAAAAAATTCAAATGCCTGACATTCAGATATATTATATTGAATAAGCTGACAGTATCGTCAATGTTCCAGTATTCTCCTCTCTCTCACTCTGGCAGGGACTAACCACAGAAAAAAGTTTCACTTCTTGCCTAGTGCTTCTTTTTTCGTTTTTTTCCAATAGATTACAAATTTGTTTTGTTTATCAGTTATGGTTCTCACATGGGTGTGGGTGGGGAATGTGATAAATGTGCTTTTGCGTTTTCCTAATCCAAATAGAGCCTAAATCCACGTTATTATCACTAGAGCACACAGGGCACATCAAGAAGTATGCAGAAAACACGTACCCCATTAATTCTCTTTAATAACTTCATAGTTGACCATTTGGTTTGTTTCGAGAAAGTACAACTTGTTCTCATTTTTGTTCTAATTTTCCATTTTTAGCACATACTCGTAGATTTTCTTGGTCTATCTGAGTGACACCAGGTAATGAGGTCTGAATTGAGCCCATTCTCCCTGCAGAAGCAGAATCATATGTTCCTTAAGTTAGCAGTGTCATGTCTCTTGGTGGGTCTCGCTTTAAGCCTCCTCTTCACGGATTCGTTCAGCTTGACATCATCTTTGGTTCAGACACCTCTTCCTCTCGCAAAAGCAATAGCTGAGTCACCCGTTATTTCTTTTCCCTCTAAGACACCTGATTCTGTTGATTTTCCCGGAAACCAGAGTCAAACTTCTCACATAGCCAGAGGTAACACAATTTTTTTGTCTTTGTGCTTTAATAGAGAGTTCATCTGCATACATGCATGAACGGCATAATGTGTTTTAAACTTTAAAGCTTCACCCATTTTTGCTTCTTTCTTCTGATTCCTCTTTGGGGATTCAGTTGTTTGGAACCATTTAGATCTTTCAGCTCTGCATGTCACGGAATGTGTCAATTAATTTTGAAACTTTCTGGTTTATAGGTTTCTTGGGAACCGATTTTCTTCTCCATCATTGTCCAAAGAAGTATTCATTTCCGTGATATGTATCAAATAACTAGTCATAACTGTAACACCCTGTTCTAGAACCGGTTTGTTAACATCGCATTATGATATTAAGCGCAGTTACAATCACATGGGTTCAATTAAAATCCGGATAAATTTTTCATTTTAAAACGTACCGAACTTATAATACCCAATTTCGTGATCATAACCCTATTACCTTGCGGAACAGATAAATTAAGCTTAACATCATGTTCATTTCCCATTTTTAAACCATTAATTTACTTCTTGTTTAATTCAATACTTCTACCATATTGTAGGTTTCTTCATTAGCTACCTGTGGCTTCAAACCGTGCTCAAATCGGGGCACTGTAGCCCAAGTTAGGACAATTTGGAGCAACACAAGAGAGTGTTGGTCACAGGCCCAGCGCGCTTCAGCGCGCTACCGGGCGCTCAAGCGCGCGCTATCGGGCGCTAAAGCCTCCATCTGGGCGCTTAAGCGCACGGAGGCAGTAAGCATCAGGCATTCCAGTGTGGATGGGCGCTTAAGAGCGCAACAGGGCGCTCAGGCGCGCTATCCTGGGCGCTCAAGCTCCCACGGGGACGTTTTAGCGCGCAGAGACAGAAGCATCTCCTCCTTCAGTGGCGAAGGGTGCTTAAGCGCGGACCAGGGCGCTCAAGCGCGCAAGCCCCACCCTGGGCGCTAAAACACGAGGGGGCAGTAAGCCACCCAACTTTCTGCAGCAAGGGGCGCTTAAGCGCACGCCAGGGCGCTCCAGCGCGCAATCCTGGGCGCTTAAGCCCCCACTTGGGCGCTCCAGCGCGAGGAGGCAGAATGCATTGGCACTCGCAGGGGCAGCAGGGCGCTTGGGCGCGCTCCTGGGCGCTTCAGCGCGCTGCCAGGGAATTCCAACTCCCATATTTTTCAACTCCAATCCTAGAGGAAGGTGCATCCCCATTACAACCCCAATTGTCTATGCCCCAAACTAAATCCTAGCACTCATCCAACCTCTCCTCATGAGATTTAGCTAGAATTTGGGCAGCATGACCTTTGTTTTCTCATCGTTTACCAATTTAAACAAAGGGGTACCTAATTGATTTTCAGCACAACCAATTCAACAACTCAATACATCACAAGCATGCATATATTGAGTCTCAAGAAGACATCATTTACTTTACATATACTTTACAAATCATAGAACTTAGCTTTCAAAACATTATGATCATTCCCTTGGCTCCCATCAACAAAGGTGTAACCAAAGGCATGATCATAGGCTAAGTTCATCCAATGAATCAAGACATACAAATGACCAAGGGCTTTAAAAATAAACTCCTATACATGTCAACTACAAAAGGCATGCATAAACTCAAAAGGAATGCTACATCTCATGCATAATCCAGATATGGCCACTTGCCACCAGAGGCTCCTGCAGCATCCTTACCTGAAAGGGGGTCCCCACAACACGGGGTGAGATATACGAATATATCCAGTAAACCAGGGGTCCTTGGAGCATCTCTCCACCCCACAGTTCCATATCAGTGTAATAGCAATAACAATAATAATGCAGTAAATACATATCTATGCAAAGTGCAATACATCTCCAGGAGAAATCCCTCGAGCTCTCAAGCTGTCCTAAGGAAACTCAGATGCAAATAGTCCTACTGGCCAGCTAACTACCAAGTATGATTTACGCATCGTCATGCCACATACCAACATAGGGAAACACCATCCTATGCCACACCAAATGCATACACATACGTATAACAAAGCATTACACTATTTTATTGCATTTATATACACAATCACAACCTCTACCCTTTCAGGGCTTGGTAGAACAGTCAAGGGAATTACACCCAAGGTCCGAAGGCTTACCTCAATGCTTCAGTCAACCTTTGTTCTTCACCAACAGTTTCAGCAATCAGCTTTTACAAACATACACCTACACATGATGTAATGCAATCAACACATATTGCATCCAATAACATCTCATAGCTATCAACCAAGTATGAGCTTACCAATTCCAATGAGCTATTCAAGCTCCATAGCTTGCTCCAATGGTTGATCACTCACGGTTGGTCCAAATGTCTCAATCCTAGACATCACAAGGATCCAATCAATCATTCAACTCACTAATTGTTCAACATGCTAGAATACTAACCAATCCAAGCATGAATTTTCCAATATTATGAACAATTATCAAATGACTATCTAGGCTCATTTCCACCGATTAAATGACATTCATAGCATTTTCCATAACATGCTCTAAGCTCCATTCTTCCTAGAACATAGCTAATTCAACTACATTTCATAAAAATCCCAATTTACTATTCACAAACCCTAACTCATGCAAATTTCAAGGAATCATGAGGTTCAAGGGTTAGAATCTTACCACCAATGGTCACACAACCAAGGATTGATGGCTCCTCAAGCTTCAATGGAGGTAGAAACTCTCAAAACCCCAATTTTCACCAAAGGGCCGAATTTTTGAGAGCCAATATCCCTCTCCACAATGCTCCCCACTCAAAACAAAGCTAGGATTATGAAAGAGGGCGAGATTCTAAGCGATTTAGGCTTTTGAATCACCCAAAACCGTTGGGATTTGCTCTCTCTCTCTCTCTTTCCCTTTTCTTCTTCCCTCTCTTCTCCCTCTCTTCTCTTCTCCTTTCTGGTTCGACGGGTTGGGTGGGAAATGAGGGGTTCTTTTTGGTGTTTTACCACTTAACATTGGTTAAGTGGTAACATGTGGGTATTGGTTCGTCTATCTATTCAACTCCAATAATTACCAAACTTTACCCAAAAGTCTGGAATATTATTCTAGGAATACTACTATTTTTATTTTTATATTTTGGGTACTTTTGCCAGTACCCATTTATACCCCTTAATTTTCACTGAGTACACTTTTTAACTCCAAAGTGACTCAGATTCATTTAATTAAGCCTTATACTTAATTTCACTCACTAAAACATGTTTAATTAATTAATTACACTTGATTTACTAATTAATTAAGATGGGCTATTATAATAACTATAGCGGGGCTTAATTTAAGCACGTGGATAGTTCTCAACTCAAATCAGTTATCATGGCATTGCTTTTCTCATTTTCATAAGCTAAATTAGAAATGTGAGGTACATATATTTGTGCTTGGCTGATAATTTCGTTTCAATATTAAGATGCAGTGAAATGTGATCTTTTTGTGGGAGATTGGGTGCGGGACCCATCTGGTCCGGTGTACACTAATGAGAGCTGCCATGTGATTGAAGATCATCAAAATTGTTTGAGGAATGGACGCCCTGATTCTGGGTACCTTTATTGGAGATGGAACCCAATGGGCTGTGAATTACCCAAGTTTACTCCAAAGAAATTCTTTGATATTATGAGGAATAAATCATGGGTCTTTATTGGTGATTCCATCTCCCGCAACCATGTGCAATCGTTACTTTGCATTCTCTCACAGGTACACTTTGTTTCTTCTGCTAACCGATTCCAAATTTTGACATGCTTTGGCCTTTTGGTTTGTTATGAGAAAGTAACCAATTTGTTCTCTTCTTTGCTCTAGGTTTCCACTTTTAGAATTCCTCGGAGATTTCCTTGGTCTCTCTTAGTCACACGAGATAAAGAATTTCTTATGACTTGCAATATTTAGATGTGAATTGTTTTTTACTCAGCTTTGGACACACTCATGCTTTCTTCGTTTTCGCTGGCTTGTCAAATCAGAAGAAAATAATATATGACAACATTTATCTTGGGTTTTTGTTTTTTGTATTTTACAGTAAAAGCCAATAATTAGAAATGAGGCCTGTGGTTGATATAACGAGTGTTGCTCATGTGATAGTGTGATATGGTCTAATTAGTTCCAGAGATGGTTGACATGGTTTCTAGCCCATTGATCATGAAGCATGGTTACAATTGATAAGTAATGATTTATAATAGTAGTTCAAATTATGGTTTATGAAGAATAAGGTTCAACAGATTGCTCTGTATGTCCTTCTAAGGACAGTGATTAGTCCTTGTTATCATTAATAAAGCTGTTGGATTACAGTTGTGGGCTTATGTGGTTGGTCCTCTGCCAACGGGATAGTTTGGTGTCCCTTTTTTGGTGATGAGTTTGTTGTCTTTTTTCACATAGGTTTACCTACCTCAATTTGGAAATACTAGTAAATACACCACTAATCAGATCTTCAAGATTAGTTTTGTAAAAATTAGTATGAAAAAATCGATTTTATTTATTTATTTATTTCGGGGGATAGGAGGGGGGTGTGAAGAAATATTGAAATTTTAACTACCTAAGAATGGAACATTTGCTGAAGCAATGTACACACCAGTTGCCTATCTATAAATGTTCATCACTCCATGTATTATAGTCTGAATTACATATTTTTCAACTTGAATATTTTCTAGTTAAATTGATTTTGCTGTTTCAAATGCTTCTTTCATTGGTATGTGTTCGGTCTTATTGAATCGTATAAGAATACCTCAAGGGTATACGCTCAGAGATATCTTAGAGATAGATATCTTGATTGACTTATAGCCAATACTCCAATCACTGCGCACAAGCAATAGGCTTATAGCCAAGACGTTGGTGTGTGTACAGTGTTGGCAGTAATAGTAAATAGGTCAAAAGTATGTACTTGGGTCTTTATCCTCTTATTTACAAGGATTACCTTCGTAGGCTTGGGCCTTTGAAATCTATGAAATCTGCCTTGATTGATGGGGATAGGATCTTATCTGTTAATCCTCTCTAGATTATATGGTTGTGATATCCCTATCCAATCTTGCTAATAATAAGGTTGTTAGGATATGGATCCAGTCCATAACAGTATTATTGTATCTCTTAAGTACCATTAGATTTGTGGCATTGTAGATTGTCTGTTGGTAGGCCCCTAATTTTGTTGATACAACTATAATGATTGTGAGCTGCAGGTGGAAGCAGCTGAGGAGGTCTACCATGACGAGGAATATAGATCAAAGATATGGAAGTTCCCTTCCCACAACTTCACACTCTCAGTAATTTGGAGCCCTTTCCTTATCAAAGCAGATATATTTGAGGACATGAATGGAGTTTCCTCCTCAGAAATACAGCTTTATCTTGACAATCTTGACATCAAATGGACCAATCAATATAAGAATTTTGATTATGTAGTAATTGCTGGTGGAAAATGGTTTCTAAAGACTGCAATATACCATGAAAACAGCACGGTCACAGGATGTCATTACTGCCCCGGAAAGAATTTAACAGAGTTAGGATTTGACTATGCATACCGCAAAGCACTGCAGCAGGTTTTTGCTTTTATCACAAACTCTAAACACAAAGCGATTGTTTTCTTCAGAACCACCACACCAGACCACTTCGAGAATGGGGAGTGGTTTAGTGGAGGATATTGCAATAGGACAGTGCCCTTCAAAGAGGGTCAAGTTGATATGAGAGATGTAGATTCCATCATGCGAGTCATTGAAGTTGAAGAGTTTGAGAAGGGTGCCTCAGTAGGTGCAAACTTGAAACTTTTGGACACAACTCGCCTCTCACTGTTGAGACCAGATGGGCATCCAGGACCATACCGACAGTTCCACCCATTTGAAAATTCTAAAGTCCAGAATGATTGTCTGCATTGGTGTTTGCCAGGTCCAATTGATTCCTGGAACGACATACTAATGCAAATGCTGTGATTATTTATGTAACTCAGGATTGGTTAGTTTCTTTGTTCTTCCATACCTTGAGTAGTTTTACAGGAAGGCTAGCATATTTTTATATGAATGCTAACATTATTTGAGATTCTCTTTTAAACACTCTATTACTAAAAAAATAGAGTGTAACTCAGCCCTTCATCCTTCTTGTTTCCGCTTCCATCACTTTGGGCTTTCTCTTTTTGCGAACCAGGTAATTGTTCCAAGCCCAATATGAGGTTTAGGCTCAAGTCCAATTAGCCAATTTTATTATTACTAAAAAAACCTAGTGACACCCTTTTGAGGTAAACCATGTCATCATTCAATAAGCCCAATTTTTGTTGCTATCTCTTGAGGCCAACAAATGGTCACCACAAGTAATGTCCTTGTCATCTTTTTGTGTCTATTTTTAAATATAATTGGTCCTCTATATTTTTTCATGATTTAATTTTGATACACTAATGATAGTATAAATTTTTGTATAATATCACTCACTATAGTGTGAATTTTTATGCTATTAAAGTTCAACTCTCCATACAACATCACTCGCTCATGTGGTAAAAAATAATACAGAACTTAAATGTCGAAAATAAATAAATAATTTTCAATAGTTATGTAGATAGTTCTTAATTATTAATCGTTTGGGAAAAACAAACAATTGATATTTCAACTGCACTGTGGATTCACGAATTAAAGTGAAGAACCGGGATCCTTGTAGAACATTCCAATAGCTTATAAAAATTTCGATCTGGCATTTAGAATATGTGTTTGTGGAGTAATGATTTGGTATAATAAGTTGGTTTTTTGTTTTTTGTTTTTTAAGCTAGCTTTTGAGTTAATCAAAATTAAGTCATTTTCTAATAAACCTTAAAAGCACACTACTTACATGTCACTTATATTTAAGAAAATTAATTCTGACGTGGTAGCATAATATTTGAGGGATAGGATATTGTGACACTCAAGTTATGTTACACCCATATGACACCCAGTCAATCTCACCGTTAGATCGCTTATGTTGATCCAACGGTTATATTTATTTCCATCTTTGTATGGTCATGATTTCCCAAATTTAAAGTGAAAACATTAAATATGGGAAATCATAACCATACAAAGGTAGAAATAAATATAAAATATTAAATTTGGGAAATCATGACCATACAAAGATGGAAATAAATATAACCGTTGGATCAACATAAACGATCTAACGGTGAGATTGACTGGGTGTCACATGGGTGTAACATAACTTGGGTGTCACAATATCCTATCCCAATATTTGAACTCAAATAACTTAGATAGTAAGCTTACCGCCTTAAATTATTGTGGCAACTCTATGTTTAAGATCATTGTTCTACTCTTAGTCATTTTTTTAACGGAAAACACTCCAAATAAATAAATATTGAAAAAAGCTCATATGAAATCCGATATAAAGAGAGACAGAAAATAGTACTTAAATTTTTTTGATGTTTACACATAAATAAAAGTGTGTGAGGTTTATATAGAACCATGTCATAAGAAGAAAAAAAATATAAATCTCACATACTTTTATTTATATATATATATATATATATATATATATATATAATAAATTTATTTCCTATAATATATATAAAAAACGTTAAATCCCATAATATATTATAAAGTTTGAATCACGTTTTGATATGATCATGGATAGAAGTCATGATGAACCCACTGTTATTTCACGGGTGTAAATATTTGTCGTTTTTGTTAAAAGGTTCATTTATCAATTATATGGACACCCACCGCACTATGACTATCCTTTCTTTTTCTTTTTTGAGTACAAAATGAGGGCTTTAGAAAAAAAAACTAAGGAGACACTATCCCTTCTTTAACTACCTTGGGTGGTGTTTGGTTGGGGGTATCTAAAAATATGCCTATGCAAGTGAAAGTGGCTAATTTAAAAACCCATGTTTGGTAGACGGTTTCCTTCACTTTCCCCTTCAATTACATTTGCATAGCTTTCAGCTTTGTGTATTAGAAAGCAAGGCAAATTCATTGTTACGAAAGACAAATTGCACGTGATGTTTCAAACTTAGCTAAGGAAATGAAGGATCGGGCAAATGGCATCAGACCATAATACCCTCATCATCATACATGCAACCAAGTCTGGTTTCATCTCATCTAATAGTATGTTGGTAGGGTGGCATGAAGAGAACAACTTCTGCAGAGTGGATTCAATTTGAAGAAAATGAGAATGCTCTTCTTGCATTAGATTCTGGAACCAAACATCAACCTTTTTTATAGAGAGAATCATAGAATTCATATTATGGAACCAAAAATTTTTAAAAACAGGAATATTTTCGTAATTGCCACTTATTTTTCCATCTATATTTTACCTCAAACCAAACATAGACTTCATGGGCCTGTTTGGAGCACCTGGTAAAGAAGATAAGATATGATAACTTATCATATCCTACTTTTATCTCTTGTTTGGTGGGTCAATAGGATATGATTAGCTTATCCTATTGGCTCATTTTATTCTATCCAATATATGATTTTTTATCCTATGATGGGGGGAGCTGAGTTAGGATTCAACAGGATAGGATACCAATATTGGATACCCAATATATTTGTATTTATTTCATTATATTTTGTTTTTTCTTTCTCCTTTCTCCTTCTACATAATCTTATCAGATTGCTAATTGGATTCTCATCAAACACAGGACATGATATAAGCTTATCAGCCTCATATCATATCCTACTCTTATCAGTCTCACATCATATCATACGCTTATCATATCCTGTCCACCAAACGAGCCCTATAAATCTGACCTAATTTGCCCGGTAAAATTTTTTCCAACCAAATAACTTTTTTTACATTTTCCTACCAAATTCACTTTCCAACCATTTTCCTATTAATTATATTTCTCTAATATTCATGGATTCTGATAATTTTTCACCCACGCGGGATCGCATTCTTGGATTCCGTATCAGTTGTTGGTTCTTCGTAACGAAAAAACTTATGATCCGGACCACAATAGTCCTTCTATCAAGTGTCATGTAGCAAAAAAATTTTCCTATCTTTCTCTCTTTTCGCCACACCAATTGGAAAGTTTTCAAGGGCACTAAAAATCACATTATTAGTGGCATTAAAAGATGGGTTATATACTTCTTCTGTAACTGCAGATGGAAAAAAGTGCAGCAACATTTATTTTCATCGGGATACGCGTCTGGATCCTGATGCGTTTTTTTTTTTAAGTCAGGATACGACCCCGTATAGTGTTAATAATTTGGTACAATTTTTCTTATCAGCAGCGAAAGGAGAAGCGACGAACCCTTAAAAGATTTATCCTTCGCAATACTCATAGGATAAAAATCACATTTTATACTCGGTTTAAAAAACATATATTCTGTAATTTAAATTTTCCCTTAATTTATACTAAGTTTTAAAATAATAAAGTTTATTTTATTATGGTCTTCTACATAAAAAAAAAAAATTAGCTAGAATATTTTTTCTTCTAATTCATACTAAGTATAAACCACACGTAAATTGATCGTGACATTATTCTTCCTTATTGGAGAGGAATATATATAGATCAAATACGGCTTAATATGTGTCGTTGGATTTGGCATAGTATATTTAATAAAACATAAATCGAAGTTAAAAAAGTCTCTCCTTTTATTATATTATTTATTTTAAATAAAATAAAATATTTAAATAATTTGAAATAATAATATAATATCATTTTTGTTATTTTTTGAAATTATATTTAGCTTGGGAGGCTGATAGGTTTAAATGGGCAACCAAATGGTGATAGCTCAATTGATACTAAAAGAGTTGAGTAAGTGAAAAGAAAAAGGTTTCGGTTCGTCATTTTTGGACGAATTTAAATATCTCTATTCCTGACCCGCACCGCATTCCAAATTAGTTCCATAGACAGCTTAAAGAGTCAAAATTTGTTAAAATACCGAGAAAAGTCAACTCGCCTCAAAGATATAATGAAGATTAAAAGATAGGTTTAAATGGGCTAATTTTATTTTATTTTTTGATACATAATGGGCTAATTAATCATACCAGAGTTTCTATTTTCTAAATAGGTAGGGCGTACTTAAAATATAAGCAGCATCAAATTAATAAGTTAGGTCAGGTTAAAAATATTTTATATAAAGTTAACTTATTTATTCTAAAACCTAACTTGACCAAATTTATTTACACCCTAATTAAGGATGGACGAATCTAAGTGGTATAAGAGCTAAATCATTGGTGTAACTTAAATTAGAAGGCTGTATATTATATAGTCACTTAAATTAGAAGGCTGTATATTAATGTCTAACTGGTAAGAAGTTGGAGAAATCTCGTCAAGTTCCATATGCATAGAAAAAGAGAAGAGGTGATAGAGTGAAGGAGGAAAAAAACAAATTAGGTTTAAAAAACCCAAATCCAAAACCTACTTTACGTAACATGATAAAAAAATAAAAGTCAACTCTAAATATAAAATTAGATAACAAAGGAATACTTTTTTTAGTACTGTGAGGCTGTATTCTTTCATGCATATAAAATGCTAAGAGGGTTGAAGCATTTTTTATTATTATTTTTTGAAAAAGAAGAGGGTTGAAGCATTATTTAAGACCACAAACGCTAGTGCGGAAGAAAATTTTAGAATTAACTGCCAAAAGTCCTTGGCTTATTTATATTATTGTGCAATAATCCAAGCATGGGTTGGCATAATAAAGTGAAGGTGAAGGAGGAAACCTCTTGGAAGCAATTACGTGCTAATGCATGTTCATATCATGAAATAAATTAAAAGAATGATTTCTTTTTTTAACTATATATAATATCAAGTATTAAAAGATATGACGGTGATAACTGTTGACAAATTTGTTTGCGTTGATAATAAAGATTTATGATTAAATTTTACTTTTGTATATCTCCTTCCTTTATATATGGACGACATTAGTGGTGACAACAGTGATGACAATAATAATGGAAAACTCTTGAAAGCAATTATGTGTTAATGCATGTCCATATCATGAAATAAATTAAAATAAAGACCTTTTTCTTACTATATATAATCTTTAGTATTAAAAGATGCATACCTGTAGTGTTGACAAATATCTTTGCGAAGATAATAAAGATTTATGATTAAATTTTAATTTTATATATT